CTGGCTTGTGATCTCTGAGTTCTCGGGACACAGCTGCAGGACAGTTGGGGCTCCACAGACAGAACAGAATAAGAAGGAAAAAGTAGGACTGGCACCTGGCAGGGGCAGATTAGCATTACAGAACCACTGCATAGCAGAAATGCTAACACAAATGCCAGTAGAGACCATTTTGAAGGCGATGCCAGGCCCATGTTCCCTCTGCGTCTCAGCCCTCAGCTGCTTCTAGGATGGCAGGACTGATGCCTGCTCCATTGTGCCCCTCCGCTCGCCCACAGCCACAGCCAGTAACCAGTGTCAGCAGGGCTGACAAGGAGCTCGGATGCTCAACTGGCCTCTTCTTTGTGGTCTGGACAGCAGTCATCTGTGAGCATGCATGTCTGGGTTTCCTTCTTGTCATAAAACAGCTCTGTGCTCTGGAACTGGTCTCTGGCAGCAGCCCCCCATCCTCATGCCTTGGTAGCATGCTTCTCATTAAAATTTAAATTCAGTGTCTGAGCCAGGGATGGTGGTGCACATCCATAACTTGGGAGGCCAAGACAGGAGAATCACAAGTTCAAGGTCAACTTGGGCTATATAGTAAGACCCTATCTCAAAAAAAAAAAAAAATCAGTTTCTGAGTCACAGCAGCCATATGTGGCTGGTGGCTACAGTATTGCATAGAGCAGATATAAAACATCACATCATAGCAGAAATGTCTCTCTCTCTCTTTTTTCCCTCCTAGGTTCTGGGATTTGAACTCAGGGCCTTGTACTTGCTATACAAGCATTTTACTACTTCAGCCACACCCAACTCCAGAAATGTCTTTTGGTCATTGCTACTCTAGCTAAGGCAGCTTCATACAAGGGTACCCAGCCTGGTGGCCCAAGTGTGGGCCTAACTTGGTGTTCCTTAGCCTCCAGAAAAAGCAGATGGACTGGTGGACTTACAAAAAGAGGGAGTACTGACCCTATTTCCTGGTGGATTCTTCCTATGTGATGGGTGTCAGCATGGCCTGCAGCTGGCAGGGACTTCTCTCTGTGGTTTTCCATTCTTTTTGGAGAGGGGGCAGTAAGGGGATTGAAAGAGGAATTGAACCCTGTCTAACCCACTCTGATGCAGAATTGCAAAGATTGTGCTTTGGGGTAGATGACTGCCTCTGAGTAGTGCCACAACCCAGGAAATGGGGAAGGACTTAAGCAGCTCTGTCTTCTGAAAATCATGGTATTTTTAGCTGCATATAGTTTAAAGCAGATTTGAATGTGCAGTGGGTAATGATAACTTTCACAGCTGAGCGATCTCAGTGGATATCTGCTCCAACACTATTTAAACATGCTCTGTCTGGCTCAGTGTGTTTATTTTTCTTCTGACAGTGATAAGTGGTGGAAAGAGCGCATGAAGATTTCTAGATCCATCCTAAGGCGATTAACCTGGGTGGGGACCCCTGGTCCTGTTAAAAGAGGTTTACTCTGAAGTGGCCCCCTACTCCCTCTGGTGGGAAGGTTAGATTCTTGTGGAAACTTTGAAGTGGTCCAGGCGCCTGTGCCCTGCAATGTAGGGGTCATGGAGGGGCTGAGAAGTCCCTGGCAGCCTCATCTGTCTACCTGCTTCCTTGTCTGCCTTTTCTCTGAGTGCAGTGACACGAAAGCACACAGTCCTGCACGGATGGTTCCAGTGACAGAGCTGTGGCCAAATCTGATGCTGGCAGGGAGCCTTTGAAATGTGGCTTTGCATGGTAGGTAGGTGGAGGAGCACTCACAGGTATAGGCAGAGGTGAGTGCCCCTACAGGCTGTTGATTCCTCCCCAGCTATGCCTGCCCCTTGGGGAGAGCCAACTGGAAGCAACTTTGCTGATGCCCTAGAGCTCAAAACCTCATGGGTTATGAGACCCTCTAGGACACAGAGTAACTGGTGGGAATTTGTCTAAAATGCATGCAGGTTTATGTCAGCTTTCTGATCGGGTTTAGAGAATTTTTCTGCTTTTTCCTTTCTCTTTTGAGGAGGAGAATAGCCAGCAGTCAACCCTGAGGAAGAGAAGACAGTACTTTCAGGACCTTCCTGTTCCTATCTTCTACCCTCCATCCCTCTTTCTGCGTTTGGTTCCCCAGCTCCCTCCCCTGGCAGTGGACAAGAGAACACTGTGTTCTCTTGACGTAGAGTAAGTGGGCAAAAGCTTCAAGAGGGCTCCTAGGATGTGCTTCTTATGGTGGAGGGAGTGCCATGACTCAGTCTCCCAGGAGTGATAGCTGAGGCCTCATGACAGATGTACCCCCATGTTCCCATGCTGTGCACTGCAGACATCAGAGCTACACATGCGTGTAGGGGGTGAAACACCGGGACTATGCTCCTCAGCCATCCTACTCTCACCTCCGGTTTTATAGGGCTAAATTAAGACAAATTATTCTTTCACTAATTCAATTTGGATTCTTTTTATTTTATTTATTTATTTATTCTTATTTTCTTTTATTGTTGTGCTGGGTGGCATTTACAAAATTTCTTATGATATATCAAATGTAGCAGCTTTTTTTTTTTTTTTTGGTGATATTGGGGTTTGAACTCAGGGCCTCACACTTGCTAAGCAGGCACTCAACCACTTGAGCCACTCCACCAGCCCCTTCAAATGTATTATACTTAATGTACCTCCTCTGCTATTCTCCTTCATACTCCCCTATCCCCCATTCCTGGAATAGTTTCAACATATATCACTTTTTCATTTGTATATGCATGTACACAGTATTTACACCATACTTTCCCTCCACCATTTCTTCACCTCCTTTCTACTCCCACTGGTATGGATTCTTTTTAGAGGAAAAAAAATGCCTATCTACTTTCATTTATTTCTCTCTCTCTCTTTTTTTTTTTTTTGAGATCTGGGGTTTAAACTCAGAGCTTTGCACTTGCTAGCAGATGCTCTGCCACTGGAACCATGCTCCCAGCCCTTCTTGCTTTGTTATTTTTCAGGTAGGGTCTCCTGGTGTTTTTACCCAAGCTGGCCTCAAACCAGAATGCTCCCAATTTTTGCCTCCCTAGGGTAGTTGGGATTACTGGTGTGAGCCATGGTACATGGCAGGGTATTGCATTTTTGCCCAAGTGGCCTTGGACCACAATCTTCCTACCTACACCTTCTGCTTAGTTGGATGACGATGACAGGCATGTGCCACCACAGATGGGATCACACTAACTTTTTGCCCAGGCTGGCTTGGACCATGGTCCTCTTGAGTAGCCAAGGTCACGGGTTCATGCCGCTGTGCCCATCCTCCGCTTGCTTCATAAGACACACATCCCCGCCTTGTTACCAGATATTACTGAGCACAGAGTCAAAATACTTACATTTACCTGACATCCAGTGGCCTTGGAGAAGGGCTGGAAGGTGGAAGGGCCAGGAAGCAGGGGTCCTCTTGGAGGCCCAGTATATGCCACTTCTCCAGCTGGGCAGGTGAACTGTTGTGTGACAGTCTGACTTTGACATGTTATTTGTGAGCCCTGCTCAGACAACACAGCCTTCCCTGCTTTGATAGGATTTTATTTTTCCTTTTGGTACTGGAGCTCAAATTCCCTGCTTTGATAGGATTTTATTTTTCCTTTTGGTACTGGAGCTCAAATTCAGGGCCTTGCACCTACTAGGCACACACGCTACCACTGTGCTACATCCCCAGGCAAGCCTTTCCTGCCTTGAAATGAAGTCACATTCCCTGCCCCTTGTCAGTACCCTCTTCTGTCTTGTTCCGTGCATTATTTCATCTGCCGTGGTCCTGAGGACAAGCTGTGTCTCATTCTGTCTTTGCATCTCCCTGGGGCACCCTTGCCCCACCTGCCCTCCATCCCTGTCTCTCCAGGGTCAGTGAGGCACTTCTCTCACAGGCATATGCCAAGACACATGTGTTGAAATGAAATTTCAGGGTTTTGGTGACATTTGGATCTTGCTTTCTGCTGAGTGTTATAATTATTTGTGTACAATTTTATTTTTCCTGTTGGGAGAGAGTTGGATGAGCATCTTCTGTAGGGCCAGCTAGAGACTATCTTAGGTTTTGTGGACCACCTAGACTGTGCTGCAGCTCTTCACATCTGCTATGGGCAGCAGAAAGCAATCAAGGGCAATACTTAGTGAGTGGGTGCGGCTGGGGTCCCTGAAAACAGGCCCTTACGTTGCTAACCTAGACTCTCACCTTCTGAAGAGGTGGGCTTGCTGTCTAATTTGTCTTGTGTATAGGAGAGGCCATGCAAGGAGTGAGCACTCCATAAACATTCATTTAGAGATTATTAAATGAAACTTGAGCTGCACATATGCATATCTAATAACCCAGCATGTATGTCGTCACCAAAGGACATGAACTGGGGCCCGCAGTGGCACCATTTATAATGGCTCCAAACTGAAATCTACCATGATGCCAATTGACAGACGAATGGATGAATAAATCACTGTATACTCACACATGGAATACTACACAGGAATTAAAATAGATTGCTATATTAAAAACATGGCTGAGTCAGACAGAAGAGATTGCATGCCATATGCCTCCATTCATACAAAGTTTAAAGACAGGTCAAGTGAGTCCATGCTGTGAGCGGTGAGAGAAGCAGTTACCTTGGTGGGGATGTGGCTAGCAGGGGCACCAGTTGCTCTGTTTCTGGATCAGGTGCTGTGTGGATGTGGTCAGTTGGTGAAAAGTCATCAGGCTGAGTACCTAGAACTTTTGTGTACTTTTCTGTATGAATTTATGGTTGAATAAAGCAGTCAAGAACTGGGAGTACCTGCTCACCAAGAGTGAGCCCCTGAGTTCAATTGCTCCACCAAAAAACAAAAAAATGGCATTAAATTTTATTTTAAAAAAAACCCAAAAGGCAAGTAGTTTGTCCAAATGGAACCTAACAAGAGCTGCTACCAGCCTTTGTGACTCTCTGGCTGATGCTCTTCCACTGCCACCTCCACTGACCTGCACGTGGTGCTGGGCGGGGGCTGTTTGTGGCACTGCAAAGGGGCATGTGTGTGCTCTAGTGCCATCCTGGCTTTCTTCTCTCTGCAGAACATTGTCGCCGTGGGAGCTGGGTTCTGCGATGGCCTGTGCTGCGGAGACAACACCAAGGCTGCCGTCATCCGCCTAGGCCTCATGGAAATGATCGCTTTTGCCAGGATATTCTGCAAGGGCCAGGTGTCCACGGCCACCTTCCTGGAGAGCTGTGGGGTAGCCGACCTGATCACCACCTGCTACGGAGGGAGGAACCGCAGGGTGGCTGAGGCCTTCGCCAAGACTGGAAAGGTAGCCCTAGTTTGCCTTTCCTAGACCTGGGGAGCCACACTCCATGCCATGGAACATCCCTCAGCACCTGTGTTGTTCTGCTGCCCTCCTGTCCATCACCTGCTCTACCTTCATCTTCCCTTGAGGAAAGCAGGGCATTCGGCTTTCCTCCTTCTATTGAAATAAACAGTTCTCCAGTTTTTACTGCGGTTTCTTTTTTATCCTTTGCTTTTAAGACCATTGAAGAATTGGAGAAGGAGATGCTGAATGGGCAGAAGCTCCAAGGACCCCAGACCTCTGCTGAAGTGTACCGCATTCTCAAGCAGAAGGGACTCATTGACAAGTAAGGCTCCCATTGTTGTGATGCTAGTTCTAGGCCAGCCCTGGGCAGATGAGCCCAGCTGTTTGCCAAGTGTTCCTGGAATTTACTTGATTCGTTCAGTCCTCTGTGTGATGTGAACATTGATGGCAGGAAACATCTACCTACCCTAAAATGTGTGTTTACACCAGTGCCACAGGGTGACGACCAAGCCTTCAGCACGTGGGGGATGCTCTAGTTCTAAACTGTAGGAGTGCATACCCTTAGGTCTCCCCTGGAACTCCCTGAGAGGGGAGACTTGACTGCCTAGGGCTGGAGGGAGCTGCACAGCTGGCTTGACGCTCTCTGGTGGCTAACCTGGAGCAAGTGCTTCTTTCAAAGCCAGGAGGTGGTTTGCAAGCCACATCTCTGAGGGTGTCTCCCTCACCCTGTTCAGTCAGCCCAGGTGTCTGTGTCTTCACACACATCTCTACCTTACCCTGTACCCATCTCCTCCTTTGATGCAGACACGCAGCTCCCTCCTGGAGGTTGCAAAGGAGGGCAGAGGGGGCATTGATCTTTCCTCTAATTTATGCTGCATTTTTCTGAAATGGCTTTTAAAACCAGCCAGCCAGAGGTGGAGGTCTATAAATGTGCCACCAGGGAAGAGAATGACCTTTAACCTGTGACAAAGGAAAATACCTGTGCCATGCCTGATTTTCCTTACCTTCTTAGTGGACAGTGATGTGTTTCATGTGGTGGGGCTTTTAATACCATTATTTATTATTATTAATATTATTTGTGGTACTTGGGGGGTCAAACCCAGGGCCTTTCACACAGAGAGCTACATCCCCATCCCCTTAGTTTTTTGTTGTTATTGTTGGGTTTTTTGGAAAGGGGGTTTGAACTCAGGGCCTACACCTTGAGCCATTCAGCCAGCCCTATTTTGTGATGATTTTTTTTTTTTGAGACAGGGTCCTGTGAACTAGTTCTCCAGGCTGGCTTCAAACCTCGACCCTCCTGATCTCTGTTCCTTATAGGCATGAGCCACCCGCACCCAGCAATATGATTTTTTATTTTTTTTAATTAAGCCTTTTTTTTTCTTTTTTCTTTTTTTTTTTTTGGTGAGACGGAGTTTGAACTCAGGACTTCACACTTACAAAGCAGGTACTGTAGCACCTGAGCCACACCTCCAGCACTGTTTTGTTTTGTTTTTGTTTTTTAGCAGTATTGCAAATTGAAATCAGGACCTTACACTTGCTAGGCAGGCACTCTACTACTTGAGCCATGTCTCCAATCCTTCTTGGATTGGTTATTTTTTTTCTATTTTAATTTTTTTATTATCATATTATTGTCTTACTGGGGTACATTGTGACATTTACAAAAGTTCTTACAATTTATCATAGTTAAATTTACTCCCTCCCTCATTCTCCTTTATCCCCCTCTCCCCCCATTCCTGGAATAGTTTCAACAGGTCTCATTTTTCCATTTTCATACATGAGTACATAATATTTCTACTACATTAACCCTCTTACACTCTTTCCTATATCCTCCCCCCTCCCACTAGTACCAACCCCCAGACAATACTGTTTTACCTTCCTGTTCTCTGTTTTTGAAAAAAGAGATTGGCTAGTTTTTTGATACAGAGTCTTGCTTTATGTCCAGGCTGTCCTGGACCTCAGTTCTCTTATTTGTGCTTCCCACATCATAGCTGGGATAACAGACTTATGCCACTGCACTTGCCCACCATGTTGTTTTTAGAAACAAGGTCTGGTGAGGTAGCCCAGGCAGTCCTCAAGCTTGTGATCCTCTTACCTCAACCTCCTCAGTGCTGGGATTTCCAGCTTAGATAATTTTTTTAAATCTTTTTTTAAAAAGTACGTAGGTATTTGGAGGTGGTGAGGCTTTCCCAACAGGAATTTGCAGGTGTCTGTGCCCTTGATAGAATTCCATGGGGTGGGCGATAGATTAGTGGGCACTGGTCTGTACTTGTCATTAGCTCCAGAGGAAAGCAGACCTGGAATCCTGGGATTAGTAGCTGCCTGGTTTAAGGCTCCACTCTGTGCTGAGCAGATGTCTCTCCCCATTCATGTCGTGTTTTTCCTTCTGACTGGAAATTCAAAGGGTCACGCTTGTGGTAAGGGATGCTGCTGCTGGGTTGGGTGGGGCACCACCTTCTCTGTGCTGAGGTAGAGAGTCCCTGGGGCCCTCTCAGCAGCACCTGCTCCTGAGCTGCACAGGTAGAGAGCCCAGTCTTCCTTCTCACTTGACACCACCATCATCTGGATTTCTTTTTTCATTCTCACCATAACTACTCTGGTCTCCCTTTGTATCTTCCCCTCCTTTCTTCTTCATTGCTGTGGAAGGAGTAGTTATTGGGAGGGCAGCATTCAAGATCACCTGGTGGCTCACTAGATATAAGGTCTCCGGCAAATCAGCCTCCCACTCTGACAGAGTGAGGGGCAGGTCTGTAGGCAGCCCCTGGGGTCTAGCACCATCCAGACTTTTTGCCAGTACTTGTGTATGCATTTGCTGACACCCTCCTTCACTGCATCCACCCTCTGGCAGTCCCAGGCAGTCCTTGCTCAGAAGCTTTTTCATATCCTCCAGCCACAAGTAATGATCCCTGCTTGGAACTTAATGTTAAGACAGTGGTCAGCCGACTTGTCCTATAAAGGCCCACGTAGTAAATACCATTTTTTCTGTAGGCCACATACAGTTCTCTGTCACTTCTCTTCTTTGTTTGTTTTTGGCTTTTTTGTTGTTGTTGTTGTTTCTTTTACAGCCTCTGAAAATGTGAAAATCATTCTTGGCATATAGGTAGAAAAAAAAAAACTATGTCACAGGACAGATTTGGCTCTCAGGCCGTGGTTTGCCAACCCTGGGTTTAGATAATATAGACCTTATGTGATGTGGACCTATTATGTGAATATATTGTTTTACTTTTATTCTTCAGATGTGGAGCAGGAAGTACAAAACCAAAACTAAAAGCTAAAACACAGGAAAATAAGGACACAGTTCAGAATGGACTTGGCCCATCCTAGACCCTGGAGGTTCCTGAGTCTAGGGTGCCTTTAAACATGGCCTTTCATTTATGAGATGGGTAGTGGGTACTGCTTTTCTTCACTGTAAGATTTATTTTGAAGATCTCTCACATCTACACATAGAAATCTCATTCTTTAATGGCTGGAACATTCTTCTGTATGACAAAAACAATTTATTTTAACCAATTTTTTCTAAATAGATGCTGAAGCTGCTTGTGGTTTCTGTTCTTATGACATTCACTAGCTTAGCTCTCCTTTATGAGCATGTGTAAGGCATTCACATTAGGTGGTTAGAGTTGTCTTAACAAAGTGTCCCAGATAAGTGGCTTAAGCAACAGATATTGTTCTTTCACTGTCTTGGAGGCTAGAAATTCAAGTCAAGACAGCCTCAAGGTGGGTTTCTTCTGAGGCCTCTCTCCTTATCTTTTGATGGCCATGTTGTCACATCACCCATCTGTGCATGTCTCTATCCTAATGTCCTCCTCTTATGAGAATACCACATCAAATCGGATTAGGGTCCACCTGAATGCCTTCATTTTAACGTAAGTGCACTAAAGGCCCTGTCTCCAAACCCAGCTATATCTGAGGTTTAGGGCTAGGACTCTGACATCTATAAACTGGAGGGAGGGCACAGGTCAGCTCCTGACTGTGTAGTAAGCTCCTCGAGGGCCAGGCTTTCCTTCCCACACCACACACCCTGCATCTCACAGAGGCCTGAAATGTCTGCAGTCCTCGTGTCCATACTGGGATGACCAGTGGATTGGCTTATGTTGGGTTTTTTCTATGAAATGTTGTCTTTTGCCCTTTTTTCATCTCTGACTTTCTTTAGAGAATCTCCCAACAGATCTGATTGGCCATGTAGTGTTTTCTGTTATATAACATAATATGTAAATGGGAAGTATGGCTTAGTAGTTGAGTACTGACTCAGTCAGAAATTGTGCTTCAGTTTCCTCATCTGTAGAACAGAGATAATATTATTTTCTACCTCATGGAGTGGTTAGGAGGATTAGATAGTCGTCCACATACACTCCACATTAATATCCCCATCTACAGGATATATTCTGAAAGCGCTAGTTTTAGAAGCTGGGAGTGCTTTCAGCTGTGAGAACGACACTTGTGGGCAAGGGTGTGGGATGGACATTGCCACTGTCAGCTCAGTGGCTGTGCATTAAAATCTCCATGATCCTTTAGCCTTTCTTCCCTTGAGCCTCAAGATGGCTGCAGCAGCTCCTAGCATCACCTGCTGTCACACAGTTGCACTTGGGAAGGAGCAAGAGCACTGTGGGTGGCAGTTTCTCCTTCATGCCTCTCAGGATGAGAATTATGTCTCACTGGCTGGACCTGGGTTGCTTGTCTAATTCTAGGTTGAAAGAAAGGTTGAGAAAATGGGCACTGGGCTATTTCCAACCTTGTTAAGGGAGAAGTGAGTTGAGAATGGCTTTGGGTGGCCAGTTATCATGTGCCACACTGCCTTGGGGACATGCACCTTATTTTCCTTTTAGGAACAGGGAAACTAAGATGTGCAAAATAAGGAGCTAGAATTTCCAGGCTCTCCATGAACAAAACAGATGTGGCTCTTTCCTCACAGCTCACAGTCTTGGGCCTGGAGACCATCCTGTGACTGTTTAGAAGGTGACATTTCCACATTGCCTTCCCACCTCCCACCCCAATTCCAAGGCCGTTCTGTGTACTTTACACGTGGATCCGCTGAAGTTCACCACAGGCCTACATACTCAGCACCCCACTTTACACAGGTGTAAACAGGTCCGAGGCTCTTGAAATTTGCCCACAGTTAACTGGAGTTAGATTTGAGAAACCTCCCCAACTCCAGAAGGTAGCATAGCTTTCCATTCCTTAAAATATCTAGGGTGGCAGACTTATAAAGACATGCCATGCCACAGCACTGTACCGTGTGCTCTTAAGTTAAATTGTCCTCATACAATTCTATCCAGGATATCCTCAGAACGGCCTAGAGGCTCTAAAGCTTTTGTGTGTGTGTGTGTGTGTGTGTGTGTGTCTGTCTGTCTGTCTGTCTGTCTGAGGTTAGTTGTTTCTTTAGTGATTTCTGCCATTAAAGAAAAAAAAACAAGCCTCGCTGAGCAGCTGCACTCTGGATCGTGTTCCCTTTTCTCCCAGGGGCTTGTTAGCCACTCCTCTGTTCCCTTATTCATTACATGTGTTCACATCTCAGAAGAAAGGCAAAATAAATGAAGCTTCCTCCATGAGATCCCAACTTTGCTAATTGTAGGTCCTCACTTTGATTCTTGCAGGAGTGTTCCAGGCCTGAATTATTTATGGTGGTGTGTGGGCTGCCTCTTGTCTTCTTGGGGTGATCCTTTTAGGAGATGGGAGAGCAATACCTCCTTGCAATTTAAAATTTATTCTGCAGTCTTTTAAAACAGTGACAGAAACTTGGGTTCATTCTAGATTCAGCCAAGACCCTGAGCCCCAGCCCTTTTCTGTACTGACCACCATTCACCCTGGAAGGACAACTCTGTGACTTGTTCGCCAGCATGTTTTATAGAGGCAATGCAGAGGCTCTGCCCTCTGTGGACCAAATGATAAAGGAATGTGGGAGGTGGTCACTATTTTCTATGCTGTCAAGTAGGACGAAAAAACAACAGTGTTCTAGGAGATACATCAGATGCCTAACCTCATCTTTCCACTTCCTCCCATCCAGGTTCCCGTTGTTCACTGCGGTGTACCAGATCTGCTATGAAGGCAGGCCTGTCCCAGAGATGCTGTCTTGTCTACAGAGCCATCCAGAGCACATCTGAAGTGAACTGTGCCATGGGCCGGGGAAGTTCTGCCTCTCCCACTTGGGGTTCATGGGAAACCTGGATTTAGCAACAGGATGTTTGCTTGACCATACTCCCATCACGGACATGCATGAATTGTGAGCAGCGGTTCATTACTAAGATGTACTAGGAAACAATGAAACACACGTGTGAACATGTATGTGTTCATTTCTCATTCTATGGGTGTTTCCTTGAACCAAAATTATGTGTCCTTTTTAATGATTGCATTTGAAATTTCCACACCATGGTAGCCTATAAGACTGGAACTAGCTCAGCTAAACTTTTAGATGTAATTCATATGTATTTGAGCAGAGGGAAGAATTAGTTTTTCTCATTCTTTTGATAATCAATTTAACCAGCATTAAAATGGTAGATATAATGGAGGAATAAGTGTATTCAAAACCAAAATATTTTACTTTGGAACCACTATCTCAAAGCCAGCATAATTAACTACTTTGATCATGAGTTGATTTTTTTTTTTAAACAAATAGATATTTTAATTAGATAATCCACTCATATAGTCTCTCTGGCTGCAGTTTTCTGCATGTCTAGCTCCTTTCTCGTCATTAGCTGCCAGCAGAGCTTTTCTACAAACCATCAGTGGCCAAGGACAGCAGACACACCTGGCTTTCCCTGCCCTGACCAACACACTCCTCTGGCCAGCAGACACTGGACGAAGCTTTTTGTTAGGTCCTACTTTCCTGCAGATATTTCTCTTAATCCTCACAGATCCTTGGAGGAGCCACTGTTATTCTTCTTGTAAGATGCAGTGCTGTACCTGGTCACCTGTGCAAAGGACAGGCACAGGAGCCCCATGCAGGGCACAAGAACTGCCAAGACATGCCTAGGCCAATATGACCTCCAGCTGCTTGCCATGTGCAGTCTTTCTAGAGGCCATAACTTCCTGCCCCAGAGTTGTGGATGGGTGAGGGTCTCAATGGTCACCACTCCAAGTGTGGTCCTCAAACCCAGTAGCATCAGTGGCACTCAGATACGCAGGCTCCCAGGCCCTTCCCACACCTCTGAAATGGCACCTATAGTTCAGCAAGCTTTCCATGTGCTTCCAATGCTCACTACAATCCAAGAGCCACGATGTTAGGATTTACTTTAGCAGGGCCTTCTCCAAACCATGTTCCATAGGAAGCAAGGATCCCAGGGACCAGGAACCATTCCAGGTATACCCTGGAAAGGCTTTGGGAAAAGGTGCTTTGGTGCACCGCTGTTGAAATATAGACTATGTGAGAATGTTAGTGGAACCTGGCCTCAAACATGTTAGGCTATGGGAATTTTTTTGGCAAGGAAACTAGCCAGAGTTTCCAGAGACCGCTGTTGTAGACTAAGGTGACCTTCAGCCAACTCAAGCAGACACTTCACTCCCTGCAGGAAATTAGGATGACTAAACTACCTGTGGCACAGTTCTGTTCTGCTGTGAATCTATGATGAAGCTTAAGGGTGACGCCGTCAAGTACAGCCAAGTAGATGCCAGCCTCGCTGAGACGCACATTATGTGGAATAAGTGTTCTAGTTCTAGGATTAGAATGGGAACCTTTTTCAGATGAGATTGGTTCAGAGCACCCTTCCACATGACGCTCCATAAGTGTTCAAAGAGCACGTGAATGTTACATATTCAGGCAATTTTAGTTACTTTGTGAGATTTTTGACTCTCCCCCACACACCCAGTTTGGGTCTTTTTCTCCCCCTGCCCCATAACTGAAATTATTGTAAAATAGATTTTTGTGGGAATTTTAAAGCTGTGTCCACAACATTTGGGGGCATTTTAAAGCCTCCTCCTCAGAAGCCTGGGAAAGCACACAAAATGCTAACACATGTCAGCAGTGTTAGTGACACTGTTGAGTCAATCAATTTTGGCTTGTCTCCTGATGAATCTTTTTTAAAGTTTGTACATAGATAATGAAGAGTTACTTTCTAAGATCTGAAAAGGGCTGTAAGGTAACTGTGGTGTCTATTAAGTAGGATCATGAGGAACTGGGATTGCGTGTTTGTACAGCCTGTCTGTATTCCAGTCTTTCCTTTGTAAACACTCTCTCCACTCTGAAATCCACCAACTCTCCCTCTTGAGCATACTTACAACAGCCTGCACAGTGTGGGGAAAGGGACATTTTATAAGTTTGTGTCTGCTAATTGTAGATATTTATTACTCTATGAGTCATCTATTTTTATAACCACTGTGGTCTGTCATCTATTTTAATTCATGTTTCTTACTAATTATGATAATTGGGAGGGAGACACCTAGATTAGAAACTTAATCTATACTATTTCAGCTAATCTGTAAATGTAAAAACTACATTAGCCAGGCATGGTGGTGTGCCCCTGTAATCCCAGCACTTGGGAGACTGAAGCAAGAGGATCTAGAGTTTAAGGCCAGCCTGAGCTACAATACAAGGGCTGGACTGGGATGTGTGGCAAGTGGTAGAGCACCTGCCTAGCTGTGCGTGGCCCTGAGTTCAAACCCCAGTACCGCCAAAAAAAAATATTAAACAAAGGGGCTGGGATGTTTCTCAGTGGTAGAGCACTTGCCTAGCATGTGCAAAGCCCTGGATTCAATCCCCAGTGCCTCATCCTTCCTCCCCAAAATAAAGTAACTACACTGTTGCCTTGCTATAACTCACCCTACTATAATATGGAAAAAAATCCCTCTCTCAAAATCTACCCTAGCAGATGGAGTTGAGTTAACCTTCCAGTTTTTCATTTAACTTTATAACCCAGCCCACACCACCAGCCCAAGAAAGGTGTGTGGTGAGGTGCCGGTGTCCAAAGGGAATTTTAGTTTTCCACTGGTTCTAATTTGCTAGACTTTTATTTACATGTGTACTGTATTTGTTCACAGACTATATATATGTGGACATATAATTGAAAAAGCTTGGTTTAATAAACATTTAACCCTCTAAACCTCTTCTATGTGTCCTATATTTCTTTTTATCAGCTTAGTTAATAGTTTTATTTCAGTCAACTCTTTTTTTTTTAATTCTGAGTTGTGTTGCTTTACCAATATTAAAGGCACTTTTTAAAAGAAAGGCTTTGTCTCTGGTGCCGGTCCAAACACACATCACACATCTGTTTCCATTGCTTGCTGATGAAAGCACGTTGCTATTTGTTGTTGCTATTATTTTGAGACAAGACCTTGGGTATATTGCCCAAGGTAGATTTGAACTCTGGGCTCAAGCAGTCTTCCTGCCTCAGCTGCCCAAGTAGCTGGGGCTACAGGTGTACACCACTATACTTGGCTTGCTGATACTTGAACATAGTTGAAAATTTGGATGGAGACCTTACAGTTCCAGTCATATAGTGAAATCCCCTCTTCCTCATGCCAAATACCCAGGTGATCTCACAGAATGCAAGTATAATCCTCAAAATCCTGCGGCAAGTTGGGGCTGAAGGAGCAGTGTGGCTTGTACTAGAACCAGAGCTCATATGCCTGAAATCGCAGCACTCGGGAGGCAGAAGCAGGAAGATCAAGAGTTCAAGGCCAGCCAGAGTGAGAAAGAAAGAGGGAGGGTGGGAGGAATGAAATGGGAAAACAAAGGAAAGGAAAAAAAGAAGAAAGGGTTGGGGGTTCAAACCTTAAAGAGACAGGAAGGGAGGAAACCTGGGTCTGGGCACGAACAAGCTGGACTTCAGGTGCAGAAAAATGTCACTGCTGAGGGAAAATGAGCGTGGGGAGGGATTTGAGACAGGGCCTCGCAGGGCCTGGAACTCTGCATAAAAATTGGAGCTTGGGTAGGCAGTGTGGGTGGGTAACTGCAGAAGCCAACACCAAGTATGGCAGAGGTCCACTCTCCATCCAGGCCCATGGGCTACCCAGAAATAGAGTTCACTGAGTATGCAAGGAACATAAAATGGTGAAACAGGTTTTCTAAGTCAGACCCTTGCAGTTTCAGATAACGCAGTAATATAGCAGAGGCTCTGGAAGGTATTTTTAAACTCAAGACATAGAAGAAAAATTTAAAATATTAAGGGAGAATTAAGAATGTTAAAATGTCCATACTACCCAAAGTGATCTACAGGTTCAGTGCAATTGCTCTCCAAATACCAATGACATCCTTCACAGAATTAAGAGAAACAATCCTAAAATCTGTATGGAAACATATAAAACCCCAAGTAGCCAAAGCAATTTTAAAAAGAAGAACAGAGCAAGAAGCATGCTGCCGGGTGCCAGTGGCTCACTCCTGTAATCCTTGCTACTCAGGAGACAGAGATCAGGAAGATCACAGTTCAAACCTGGCCCAGGCAAATAGCTCATGAGATCCTATCTTGAAAATACCCAACATAAAACAGGGCTGGTGGAGTGGCTCAAGCCTAGCCTAGTAAGCATGAGACCCTGCAAGTTCAAGCCCCAGTACTGAAAAAAAAAAAAAAAATTATGCAACCCAACTTTAAAATACACTACAAAGCTACGGTAATTAAAATACCACTAATTGGCATAAACACAGATTCATAGATCAATGGGACAGAATAGAAACCCTAGAAATAAACTCACACATCCACAGCCAACTGATTTCAACAAAGATGCTAAGAACACGCATAGAAGAAAGGACCGTTATTTCAATAAATAGTGCTGGGAAAACTGAATTTACACTAGACCCCTGTCTCACTGTTGCAAAAATCAACCCAACACTTATAAGCCCTGAAACTACGAAAGCACTAGAAGAAAACAGGAGAAATCCTTCAGGGAACAGCAGAATGAAGAGACAGAGGCAGAATGGGAGAAATAATTGCAAATGCTACATTTGGCAAGGGGTTAATACCCAGAATATATGCAAATCAAGAAACTAGCAAGAACAAAACAAAACAAACAAAAGCCAGGTGTGATGGCTCATGCCTGTTATCCCAGCTACGAGGGAGGATCATGGTCTGAGGCTGGCCTGGGAAAAACATGACCCTATCTGAAAAATGAAGTAAAAAGGGCTGGGAGCATAAGGCCCCGGGTTCAAATTTCAGTACTGAGTGGGGAAACTAAACAATGGGCAATAGATCCAAATAGACATTTCTCAAAAGAAGGCATATGAATGGCATCAGGTACATGAAAAAAATGGTCAGCACAAATCACAGAACTGCCAATCAAAAAGAATGAGATAACTGCCTCTAATAAGAATGGCTGTTGTCAGAAAGATGAAAGGTAAGTGCGGAGAAGGAGATGGAGAAAAGGCACTGTGGTCAGGGATGGAAATCAGCACAGCCATTATGGAAGGGTGGAAGTTCCTCAAAAAATTAAAAATAGAGCTACCGTGTGATCTAGTCATTCCCCTACTGTGTACATGTGCAAAGGAAATGAACTTGGTATCCTGAGGAGACATTTTCACCCCCACGCTCATTGCAGCACTGTTCACAACAGCCAAGAAATGGGAATAAACCAAGTGTCTATCAGCTGATGAATGGATGAGAAAATGTGGTACGTATATGCAGTAAAATACTATTCGGCCATAAAAAAAGACGAAATTTTTTTTCTTTTATTATTCATATGTGCATACAAGGCTTGGTTCATTTCTCCCCCCTGCCCCCACCCCCTCCCTTACCACCCACTCCCCCCTCCCTCTCCCCCCCATCCCCTCAATACCTGGCAGAAACTATTTTGCCCTTATCTCTAATTTTGTTGTAGAGAGAGTATAAGCAATAATAGGAAGGAACAAGGGTTTTTGCTAGTTGAGATAAGGATAGCTATACAGGGAGTTGACTCACATTAATTTCCTGTGCGTGTGTGTTACCTTCTAGGTTAATTCTTCTTGATCTAACCTTTTCTCTAGTTCCTGGTCCCCTTTTCCTATTGGCCTCAGTTGCTTTTAAGGTATCTGCTTTAGTTTCTCTGTGTTAAGGGTAACAAATGCTAGCTAATTTTTTAGGTGTAAAAAGACGAAATTTTGTTATTTGCAATAACACAGATGGAACTGGAGGTCAGTATGTTAAGTGAAAGAAACCAGGCCCAGAGAGACAAGTATCACATGACCACACTCGTGTGTGGAAACGAAAAACGTTGATCTCACAGAAGTTGAGAGTAGAATGGTGGTTTAAGGAATGGGAAAGACTGATGAACAGATACTATGTGATACTTAGGAGATGTTCTGGTGTTTTACTGCTGCAGTAGTGTGACTATAAGTAATGACAACGCACTGTCTGGGCTTAAAGGCTAGAAGAAAGGATTTTGAATGTTTTCACCATAAAGAAATGATTTAAGGAGATATTTTTACCTTTATTTGAGTATTACGCAATATATACATATATTGAAACATCATATGGGACCTCACTATTGTACATTTTTATGCATCAGTTAAAAAATTAAATGTATATATGGCAAAATACTGTGTGCATGTGTGTACAAAGCCCTGAGTTCAAAGCTCAGTCCCACCAAAAAAAAAAAGTCATTGAACAAATGGATAGATGGAAGTGTCAATCTGATGAAGATACAGGTAGAATTAGCAAATGGAAAAACAGATGTAGAGGTGTTCACAAAATAGCAAAGAAAATATGTAAGAATTTAAGAGGCAAATATAAGATTCAGGATCCCTCTGAGGAGTTACAGAAAAGAGGAAGGGAAAGGCGGTTAAAGAAAAAGCTGAAATCCTCCAGAATTAGTTGTATGTATTCAGTTTATATTATCTTCCTTCCTTCCTTCCTTCCTTTCTTTCATCCTTCCTTTCCTCCCTCCCTCCCTTCCTTTGTTCCTGTCTTTCTTTTGTGATACTGAGGTTTGAACTCAGGGCCTTTCACTTACTAGGCATGCACTCTACCCTTGAGCTCCACTCCCAGTCCTTTTGCTTTTTAGTTTCTTTGTCAGATAGGGTCTCTCGGTTTTGCCTGGGGTGGCCTCAGACCTTTATCCTTCTGTCTCTGCCTCCCAAGGAGCTGGGGTTACAGGCATACACCACCACGTATGGCCCTCAAAAGCTTTTAATTAGAAATGTCACTGGGGGGCAGGGGAGGGAGGTGGTCAAAACAATATAAGTAAATGTAAAAATGATAAAAAAAAAAAAAAAGAAAGAAAGAAAAAGAGAGAGAAAGAAAGAAATGTCACTGGTTCTTAGCTAAAGCCACACGCCAACTGCCATCTCTGGAGAACATCCCTGGCTAAAGCCAAAAAGAAATGACTCTTCAAAAATGAAGGAGCTAAGCCTGTCTCAGTTTTGCACACTGAGTGACATAGGGCCATTGAAGTTAATGTAACATGTCAATTTCAAGTTGTTGGTTTTGTTGAGTCCTTGCTGTCACTCCTGATTCTTTCCACCATCTCTGTGCGTGTGCTGAGCTCACGCATGGTCAAGCCAATACTGTTCTACAACCTTCTTTCGTAGTCTTAATGTTAAAGAGCTTTTCACGTCAGCATTGGTGGGTCCCCCATCATCTTAAACACATCCATCACAGAGGATAACCTTTCCATGATGCACTGCCGACCCTTAGGTGACTCCTGTTTCTCCTGTCACCGTAATTGTC